ATGGTTGAAGCTGCTTTAACCAAAACATTTCAAATCTGAGTGCCATTAGGAACAGAAGTTGACAAAAATCCAAGATCCATGTTATTTATAATTGATCCATTTCTGCAAATGAAATAACAAAATATAATGTTGTTTAGTTTGTATACATTCACGATCAGTGCTCTTAAGACCTTGTCATAATAAAATTAACAAATTACCTGAATGAAGTCACTGTTAAGGAGCGGAACGTAGGAAATGCTCTCTGGTTGAACAGCTTGAGCTGCGGAAATACAAGCAAATTGTGATTTAATTTGGTTGTTTTTTCTTAAGCTGTGCATTTTCCTTTTTTTTTTTTTCAAACCATGAAAGCAAGTTATAGCACTATAACCATTCTTTCAACAAATACCGGATTGTTTATCTGTCCTATTCTCAATGCATGAAAACATGATTTATTGTAAATAGTTTCAGTATCTTGAATAAAATGTACCTTTTTTCCTCTAATTTGACAAAAACAACGTATCATCCGTTACGTACTGTTGACGTGATCAATGAGGCTCTTCTTTGAAGCAGATGGATTCAGCAAGTCTGAAGTAAATGTCTCTCCAGCAGATCTGAAAGTCAATCGCCTTGTTGTGACCGCCTGAGATGTTACGGGTGCAGCTGTTGTGGGTGCTGCAGTATTCAAAGTTGAGGGTGCAGTTGTATAATATGATGTAACGTTTCTTTCTGTAAAAAAACAAATAAAGATGGAGTAAATGAATAATGATAGCCAGAGAGCTTTCTCTTGATTAAACCCAAACATTACAACATCTGATGATGATCATTATATTTATATTTAGATTGTGTGTTCTTTGAGAGGGATCAGGAAAGTACACAAACCAACTCACAGACTCTGGCAGATTACTTATTAGTGGCATGTGGTGTAGTTCAAAACCATTAAAATACATAATTCTTACCTATATACTTACAAATTACAGTGACAGAAGTTGTAAGAAATAAAAAAACATAAAATCTAAAAAAGATTTGCGAGACATCATTTAATATGTCTTACGTGAAACATCCACAACAATGGAGTTAGATAGATAGATAGATGCTTTATTGATCCCTCAGGAGGTAAATTTTGGTGTCCTAGCAGCATGTACAGGGAAGAAAATAGAATTAAAAGATACACATTATATACAATATAATAAAAAAATAAATAAACTAAAACAAAAGAATAACCTTCAAAAAGAGACAATGATAATAATTTGTAAAAGGAGAAGAGGAAGAGGAAGAGCAGCAACATTACAGCAGTACAGGGTTGTTATTGTCATTATTTGGCCAGAGATGATTTATTGTAAAGTGTTATTGCACTGGGCAGGAATGATCTCCTGTATCGGTCCTTGTGACAGCGGAGCTGAAGCAGTCTGTTGGAGAACATTTGATGTAATGTTAATTTCTGTAAAAAACAAATAAAGGTGGAGTCAATGAATGACGATAGCCAGAGGGTGTTCTCTTGATCAAACCCACATATTACAAGATGGATATCACTTTGGTAAATCACAGTCTAAGTAGCCTTACTAATGCCAATGCAGACTTCATGATATTTATATTTAGATTGTGTGTTGTTTGTCAAACAAGCGATTTGCCAAAGAGGGATCAGGAAAGCACACAAACCAACTCACAGACTGTTAGTGACATGGGGTGTATTTCTTTGTCTTCCAAACCATTACGATTAACCGGAGGCCAATATACTTACAAAATACAGTGACAGAAGCTGATTGAACTCAATGCCAACCTTTACTTCGGTTGTAGACATTCGTGTCAACGCTGCACGTGGACTACATTGTGAAAGAAAATGTCAATCAAATAATGTTAACAGAACCAACAGCTGCATGGTTGTGGTATTTCATTTTTTATGTAATCACTAATTCAAAATATCGTAAATAAATACAGTAGGACTCTGAACATTTGAAATATGACCTAAAAATGATCACATAAGTGTGGAGAAAAATGAAATCAAATCTTGTTCCGTAGATAAAATCAAACTGTAGAAATAAAGAAAATGCAGAACGTGAACAAACTATGAATACAGTAATGTCCTAAATTTAATAAAAAACTGACATAAAACCATTTTATGTGAGTGAAGTACTAACCACAGTAAGAACTTTTAACTCAATTCCTGGCTGTTTCGATTATTGAGTTCTTCTACGAATGGTTGTTGCAAGGTTGCTAAGAGAAAGACAACTCTTGGTGCTTCAGTAGCAGTTGCTGCATTAGTGGTAGGTGCCACAGTGGTTGGTGCTGCTGTTGTAGATCCTGCGGTTTTTGGCAAGGTAGTTGTAGGTGCAGCAGTTGTAGCTTCTGCAGTGGTTGGTGCTGCAGTAGTTGGCAAAGCAGTTGCAAGTGCTATGGTGGTTTGTGCTGCTGTTGTAGGTCCTACAGTTGTTGGCAATGCAGTTGTTGCTGCTGCAGTTGTAGCTGCGGCAGTGGTGGGTGCTTCAGTGGTAGGTGCCAAAGTGGTTGGTGCTGCTGTTGTAGGTCCTGCAGTAGCAGGCAAGACAGTTGTAGGTTCTGCAGCGGTAAATTCTGCAGTTGATAGTGCCAAAGTGGTTGGTGCTGCTGTCGTATGTCCTGCAGTGGTTGGCAAGGGAGTTGTAGGTGCTGCAGTTGTAGGTGCCGCAGTTGTAGGTGCCACAGTGGTTAATCCTGCTCTTGTAGGTCCTGCAGTGTTTGGAAAGGTAGTTGTAGCTGCTGCAATGGTAGGTGTTTCAGTGGTAGGTGCCTCAGTGTTGGCCCTGCTGTTGTACTGTAGGTCCTAAAGTCGTAGGCAATGCAGTTGTAGGTGCTGCAGTGGTAACTGTTTCAGTGGTAGATGCTGCAGTTGTAGGTCCTGCAGTGTTTGGCAAGGCAGTGGTTGCTGTTGCTGTTACAGTTGTAGCTGCTACAGTGGAAGGTGCTTCAGTGGTAGGTTCCACCGTGGCTTGCGCTGCTGTTGTAGGTCCTGCAGTTGTTGGCAATGCAGGTGTAGGTGCATCAGTTGTGGGGGCCACAGTGGTAGGTGCTGCTGTTGTAGGTCCTGCTGCTGTTGTAGGTCCTGCAGTGGTTGGCAAGGAAGTTGTTACTGCTGCAGTAATAGGTGCTGCAGTTGCTGGTGGCACAGTGGTTGGTACGGCTGTTGTAGGTCCTGTAGTTGTTGGCAATGCGGTTGTAGATCCTGCAGTAGAAGGCAAAGCAGTTTTGGGTTCGACAGTTGTTACTGCTGCAGTGGTAGGTGCTGCAGTTGTAGGCGCCACAGTGATTGGTGCTGCTGTTGCAGGTCCTGTAGTAGTTGGAAAGGCAGTTGTTGCTCCTGCAATGGTCGTTTCTGCAGTTGTAGGTGCCACAGTGGTTAGTACGCCTTTTGTTGATCCTCTAGTGGTTGGCAATGCTGTTGTAGGTCCTGCAGTAGTAGGCAAGGCAGTTTTAGGCTCTGTAGTTGTAGCTGCTGCAGTGGTAGGTGCTACAGTGGTTTGTGCTGCTGTTGTAGGTCCTGCAGTGGTTGGCAAGGCAGTTGTATGTACTGCAGATTTAGGTTCTGCAGTTGTCTGTGCTGTTTTAGGTCCTTCAGTGGTTGTTAAATCAGTTGTTCCTGCCACAGTGGTCGGTGCTGCTGTTTCAGGTCCTGCAGTCGTTGGCAACGCAGTTGTAGGTGCCACAGTGGTTGGATATGCAGTTGTAGGTGCCACATTGGTTGGTGCTGCTGTTGTAGGTCCTGCAGTAGTAGGCAATGCAGTTGTAGATGCTGCAGTTGTAGGTTCTGCAGTGGTAGGTTCTGCAGTTGTAGGTGCCCCAGTGGTTGGTGCTGCAGTTGTAGGTACAGCAGTTGTAGCTTTAGCAGTTGTTGTTGCTGCTGCTTTTGTAGGTCCTGCAGACATATTCCTGGAAATATTAGATTTTTGCCAAAACGCCATCTTTCTTCTGTTTCAAATCAATTTGTCCGCTGTAATTGATGGAGAATTATTTCCACCAGAGGATTTTACATCAAACATCTTACCCGTAACATGTATACTGTCCGTTTGAGATCCATGTTGTTTCCCACTGAATCTATAAACAAAATTACAAAGAGACAAACCCATTGATACATTATTTAAAACGTATGCTCTTCGGTTATTACTGTACATAGTCTTCCGGTTTTTTTTTTAACATTTAAAAATCCATGACCGTACCAGACATTCCTTAAAGAGTATAATTAGATGTAGAAACTTCAATACACCGAAATTTTAAATTAAATTCTTCACGTTATGAGCACTTGTAACAATTTTGTTAGGCAATGTCTTCTACTTACCACTGTCCATAAATGCAGCTCTTTAATACACGTATATCTTGTTTAAAATACAAACAAAGTTTGGGGAAAGCGGCTGAGTTTGAGCAGGCAAACATGGATTCAATCCGACCTTCGAATGCAGTGAAGCATTTTGTTTATCTTTTCCAACTAGAAAAGGGTTAAGCAAATCACAAACTGTATTGGACCTTATTTTCACAAGGACCTACACAAATTTAAAAGCAATTATAGGCAATACATTGGCCAAATATTCCTACTATTAAAGTGGGTGCGGGTGCTGCAGTTGTAGCCCTACTAATATTCATACTTTGGAACAGAGATAGAAGTTTCATCATGACGGACACAGCGATAGATTTTGATGAACCGGTATAAAATGCATTTGTTGAAGATTATGAAGTTTTGGCCCTAATGTACAATGAACTTTCAGTTCCATTGCTCAGCACCCTCACTTTTCTTGTTCTGTCAAATGCTGGCGCATTCCACCTGTGGCAATGTTAGAAGTTTTTTCAGTATCACGGTAGATCATAGATTTACAAAAATACTGGTGATGCAGTAATGGAGCATGAACAGCCTTAAATGACTATTTTTTATTTAATTTTACCATTGAAGTACATAGTTTTGATAAAAACAAGTAATTACAGTACATTATCAAGATCATGCAGGTCTTCTTTAGGGTTCTACCATATTTAATATATTTCTTTCAAACCACTACACAATGTACTTTAATGACATGATTTATTGAACATATTAGCCAAAATATTGAGTTACAATGTAGGAAGAGTACAGTGTAATTGTTGCTATATCATAATTTTTCAGTACTTAATTTTTCTGGACTATTCGTATGAGGCTTTAGATAGCGGTAAGAAGCTAACTTACAGTGATTGGTTCAAGTCTGATGGCGCTTAATGAAATTCAACAGTAAAGGATTAAGCTTCCTTCTCATCCAATTATCAACAAACTGAAAAAATATATTGAATAAATTACTCTTATTTATGATTTTAACTGTAATGCTGCTTCTTAAAAATAGACAAGGAACTATCCCTTTACATATCAATGCATGTACTTACTTCAAATGAAAAGATATGAGGAAAAGTAACACATTTTCCCTTTCTATCTACTGCTGATGTTTTTTTACGATTTCATTGTCTTTTAATTCTACTACAAACCATCCACCTGACAAATGAAGAATGTTGAATTGAAAGTCAGTTTCTTGGCTCATAAATGCACACTCCAAACCTACTTCTGTTCTGCATTTTTTTCCATTTCCATCATGTTAATGTCAAAAGACGTCCCTTTGGAATGACAAACAAATGAACATAGATCTTCAGTTTGTTGTAATGGAGTGGGAAGATGGCCAACTTTGATAAAAACATAAAATATCAAAAGAAAAACATCTTGATAGTCTTTCTTAATATTCTTCTGATAACTCTTTGATAAACTGTTAATATCTACCTGTGGTTTTTTTTTCAACCTCAGTCACCGGAAAATACAGTGTTTTCAATGTTAGATATGGATACCAGTATCAGTAATTCTTCTGATACAACCTAAAGTGTTTGAATGCAGACAAGTCTACCCACTGTTTCAATATTACGCTGTCGTAAACTCTGTAAAGTAATTCATGCTATACACCAAAACAAGCAAAATAGTAACTAAATGTTACAGTGGTTATATTACAAAATACCTATATTATGATGTGTTCTTGCTCCATTCTTTGATAATAACAATAGGGCGAAGAAGGTCTTTCATTACCAGGCTGTAATTTTAGGTCTGACAAATAAAACAAATGCAAAAACATTGCCTAAAACACATATTCATTCCAATGAACAATTAAAAAAAGGAATTAGATAGTCCCACGGTTGTCTGTGAAATAGTCACAGGAAACACATTCGACTTCCACCTGTGTTTATTTAAAGTAAATAATTAAATAAATATTAATAACCAGAACCAAAATATTGATATATATTTTCAACAGTAACATATAAACTGATTGTTACACATTACAGCACTTACAGGGGTTCCCCGTTTTTCCCGCAAACATACATTGTACAAATAGATAAAGTCCTTCCAGAGTTATTAAACTTTTTATCATGGATGTGCCATTTTTGGAGTAGAGGCCAAAAAAGAGGCTACAAAGGGTTCTATTACCTTTGGATACTAAAACTATCACTTGGTGCCATCATTTTAGATGAAATGTGAAGTAAGAAATCTGTTCTGACTACATTTCATTTGGTCAGTAAAATGAACTTAGCAATGACTTATTGTACCATGTTTTTGTAATAAAGAAAATAAAGTAAACTGCAGCTGTTCATAGTTCTTACTGGGTTCAACATATTCAATGTAACACTTTTCCCAACTTTTTTAATGCAACACTTCTTGGTTTAATAAATAAACGTTACCTGCATAAGCGACACAAAATGGATTAATCGATGAACAGGTTTAAAATAAATTTGTTAAAGATTATTGAAGCTTTTTCATGAATGTACACTTGCCCAATAAATTGAAACTACATTATTTTGACACAAGTATAGCATTACCTTAGATATATAATTTCACTCAAACAATGGTGAAAGGAATTTGTTGGTTTTACTTTCTGATGTGGCTAGTTTTACTTATATAGCCCAAATAAGATAGCATTAGTGTATCAAATTATATTAAACTCAGGGCTTGTAGAACCAAAAGTCCTTTTGACATTAATTGTACAATAATCATATATACGAGGGTTTATGGTTTTGATGTTTATCTTATTAGTATTGTGATGATTGAATGGACATGATTAAAGTTGGCATCATTCATCGCTATCATTTAATCAGACACACTGAAAAAGGTTTAGTGATACCGACACACTTAATATCATACCTGTTATCAATGTTCCCACTGATTGCAAATACTTAATTTTTATATTAAATCCAAAGCTGTACAAAAAGCTTTTACTGGAAAATAAAATATTTTCCAGAATTGGGATTCATTTTTTGTGTAAATTCAAATGGAAATCAGCACGGATGATTGTTGGGTTTACATTAGCCAGGGCAACACTAACAGGCAGGATGCGGTGGTGAGACTGATCTTCCAGCTTACTCCACTTGGACCTGCTGATGATGCAGCTGTTGTTGTTGCAGTTACGGCTACCACTGTAGGTGCTTTAGTTGTAGGAGCAGCTGTTGTTGTTGCAGTGACAGATACTACTGTAGGTGCTTTAGTTGTAGGAGCAGCTGTTGTTGTTGTTGTTGTTGCAGTTACACCTACCACTGTAGGCGCTTTAGTTATAGGAGCAGCTGTTGTTGTTGTTGTTGCAGTTACACCTACCACTGTAGGCGCTTTAGTTATAGGAGCAGCTGTTGTTGTTGTTGTTGCAGTTACACCTACCACTGTAGGCGCTTTAGTTATAGGAGCAGCTGTTGTTGTTGCAGTTACACCTACCACTGTAGGCGCTGTTGGTGGTGCTGCGGTCGTATTTGCAGCTGCTGTTGGTGTTGTAGTAAAACAAACCATTAGTTTGACGAACATACTTATGACAATGTAGACATTTTTGATCAAGAACCAATCATGACTGCTTACATATTGCGTTCACAATGATTGAAGAGAGTTCAATGTCGAAGCCGGTGACGTTAGTAGCTGCTTCGGTCAACGTATTTTTAATTTCAACGCTTTGAGGAACAAATGTCTTGTTAAAGAAAAGCGTAATGTCGTTGATGATTGATCCTGGACTGTGGAGGGAGAAAGGAAACAAAATAATATGAAGTACTAGATTTGAGCCACTATTACTAAATACAGTGTATCTCTCAACAATACCTGAAGGAATTCACTGTCATGGACCTATACGAAGGAAATGTCTTCATGAAAAAAGGATCAAGCTGAAAAAAAAGAAATTATGTTGTATTCAGAGGGCTAGTGTATAGGTTTGCAGAGATCTACCAGTAGAAATGGACTGACACAAGGAGAACTATGTTTTCATGAGTTTTGGATAGACCTGAAACTATGATTCTGCTTGTTTTATTTTCCTCTTAATGAGCCTGTTCTTATATCAGAATGACTGACTTGCCATAACAGTGTTCATACAGTATGTCAAGCCTATGTCGTTTTCAAACTAGCTAGTGAGTCTGCAATAATGTGAGCTACTGATTTGCAAATCCTGTTATTGTTTCAAACTGAAACATCACCAGTTGATGCTGTAACCACATTGTCCATTTCAACACGTTTAAGTTTGCCTTCCAACATTTAACTGTGTCGGCGAGTAGAAATATAAAGTATGTGTTCATTCCTTGGATTAGGCGCTTAAGCTTTATGATTTAAATAATAAAAGGGTCATATGTACCTGTACTGTTATCAGTCTACTTCGATCTTTAAAAGATTGTGATAATTTATTCGTCAACTCAGGAGTAAATGTGTCTTGAAGGGACCGGAAGGTAACGCCTGCTGTTCCAAGTGTCGCTGTAGTTGTGGCTATTGTAGGTGCTGCTGTTGTTGGTGCTGCAGTTGTAGCTGGAGCTGTTGTGGGTGCTGCAGTTGTAGCTGGAGCTGTTGTGGGTGCTGCAGTTGTAGGTGCTGCTGTTGTAGGTGCTGCAGTTGTAGGTGGTGCTGTTGTAGGTGGTGCTGTTGTGGGTCCTGCTGTTGTAGGTGGAGCTGTTGTGGGTGCAGCTGCTGTGGGTGCAGCTGTTGTGGGTGCTGCAGTTGTAGCTGGAGCTGTTGTGGGTGCTGCAGTTGTAGGTGCAGCTGTTGTTGGTGCTGCTGTTGTAGGTGCTGCAGTTGTAGGTAGAGCTGTTGTGGGTGCAGCTGTTGTGGGTGCTGCAGTTGTAGGTGCAGCTGTTGTGGGTGCTGCAGTTGTAGGTGCTTCAGTTGTGGGTGCAGCTGTTGTGGGTGCTGCAGTTGTTGGTGCAGCCGTTGTGGGTAGGGCAGTTGTAGGTGCTGCAGTTGTAGCTGCAGCTGTTGTGGGTGCAGCAGTTGTAGGTGCAGCTGTTGTAGGTGCTGCAGTTGTGGGTGCAGCTGTTGTGGGTGCTGCAGTTGTTGGTGCAGCCATTGTAGGTGCTTCAGTTGTGGGTGAAGCTGTTGTAGGTGCTGCAGTTGTGGGTGCAGCCGTTGTGGGTGCTGCAGTTGTTGGTGCAGCCGTTGTGGGTGCTGCAGTTGTTGGGGCAGCCGTGGGTGCTGCAGTTGTTGGTGCAGCCGTTGTGGGTGCTGCAGTTGTAGGTGCTGCAATTGTAGCTGGAGCTGTTGTGGGTGCTGCAGTTGTAGGTGCAGCTGTTGTGGGTCCTGCTGTTGTGGGTGATCCAGTTGTAGGTTCAGCCGTTGTAGGTGCTGCAGTTGTAGGAGCATTTTGTGCAGGTGCTGCGGTTGTGGGTGCTGCAGTTGTAAATGCTGCAGTTGTAGGTGCTACAGTTGTAGGTGGAGCTGTTGTGGGTGATCCAGTTGTAGGTGCAGCCGTTGTAGGTGCTGTAGTTGTAGGAGCATTTGTGCAGGTGCTGCGGTTTGTGGGTGCTGCAGTTGTAGGTGGAGCAGTTGTAGGTGCTGCGGTTGTGGGTGGCTGCAGTTGTTGGTGCTGTAGTTGTAGGACCATTAGTTGTAGGTGCTGCAGTTGTAGGTGCTGCAGTTGTAGGTGCAGCAGTTGTAGGTGCTGCAGTTGTAGGTGCAGCAGTTGTAGCTGCTGCAGTTGTAGGTGCTGCAGTTGTGGGTGCAGCTGTTGTGGGTGCTGCAGTTGTAGGTGCAGCCGTTGTGGGTGCAGCAGTTGTAGGTGCTGCAGTTGTAGCTGCAGCTGTTGTGGGTGCAGCAGTTGTAGGTGCAGCTGTTGTAGGTGCTGCAGTTGTGGGTGCAGCAGTTGTAGGTGCAGCAGTTGTAGGTGCAGCAATTGTAGGTGCAGCAGTTGTAGGTGCAGCAGTTGTAGGTGCAGCAGTTGTAGGTGCAGCAGTTGTAGGTGCAGCAGTTGTAGGTGCAGCAGTTGTAGGAGAAGCTGTTGTAGATGCAGCAGTTGTAGGTGGAGCAGTTGTAGGTGCAGCTGTTGTAGGTGCAGCAGTTGTAGGTGCAGCTGTTGTGGGTGCAGCAGTTGTAGGTGCAGCAGTTGTAGGTGCAGCTGTTGTGGGTGCAGCAGTTGTAGGTACAGCTGTTGTAGGTGCAGCAGTTGTAGGTGCAGCAGTTGTGGGTGCTGCAGTTGTAGGTGCAGCAGTTGTAGGTGCAGCAGTTGTAGGTGCAGCAGTTGTTGGTGCAACAGTTGTAGGTGCAGCTGTTGTAGGTGCTGCAGTTGTAGGTGCAGCTGTTGTAGGTGCTGCAGTTGTAGGTGCATCAGTTGTGAGTGCAGCAGTTGTAGGTGCAGCAGTTGTAGGTGCAGCAGTTGTAGGTGCTGCAGTTGTAGGTGCAGCAGTTGTAGGTGCAGCAGTTGTAGGTGCAGCAGTTGTTGGTGCAGCTGTTGTAGGTGCTGCAGTTGTAGGTGCAGCAGTTGTAGGTGCAGCTGTTGTAGGTGCTGCAGTTGTAGGTGCAGCTGTTGTGGGTGCTGCAGTTGTAGGTGCAGCTGTTGTGGGTGCTGCAGTTGTAGGTGCTTCAGTTGTGAGTGCAGCAGTTGTAGGTGCAGCTGTTGTAGGTGCTGCAGTTGTGGGTGCAGCTGTTGTGGGTGCTGCAGTTGTTGGTGCAGCAGTTGTAGATAGAGCAGTTGTAGGTGCTGCAGTTGTAGCTGCAGCTGTTGTGGGTGCTGCAGTTGTAGGTGCAGCTGTTGTAGGTGAAGCTGTTGTCGGTGCTGCTGTTGTAGGTGCTGCAGTTGTAGGTGAAGCTGTTGTGGGTGCTGCAGTTGTTGGTGCAGCTGTTGTGGGTCCTGCAGTTGTAGGTGCAGCTGTTGTGGGTGCTGCAGTTGTAGGTGGTGTGGTTGTAGCTGGAGCTGTTGTAGGTGGTGCAGTTGTAGGTGCAGCTGTTGTGGGTGCTGCAGTTGTAGGTGCTGCAGTTGTCGGTGCAGCTGTTGTGGGTGCTGCAGTTGTAGGTACAGCTGTTGTGGGTGCTGCAGTTGTAGGTGCAGCTGTTGTGGGTGCTGCAGTTGTAGGTGCTTCAGTTGTGAGTGCAGCTGTTGTAGGTGCAGCTGTTGTAGGTGCTGCAGTTGCGGGTGCAGCTGTTGTGGGTGCTGCAGTTGTTGGTGCAGCCGTTGTGGGTAGGACAGTTGTAGGTGCTGCAGTTGTAGCTGCAGCTGTTGTGGGTGCTGCAGTTGTAGGTGCAGCTGTTGTAGGTGCTGCAGTTGTGGGTGCAGCTGTTGTGGGTGATGCAGTTGTTGGTGCAGCCGTTGTAGGTGCTTCAGTTGTGGGTGCAGCTGTTGTAGGTGCTGCAGTTGTGGGTGCAGCCGTTGTGGGTGCTGCAGTTGTTGGTGCAGCCGTTGTGGGTGCTGCAGTTGTTGGTGCAGCCGTTGTGGGTGCTGCAGTTGTTGGTGCAGCCGTTGTGGGTGCTGCAGTTGTAGGTGCTGAAATTGTAGCTGGAGCTGTTGTGGGTGCTGCAGTTGTAGGTGCAGCTGTTGTGGGTCCTGCTGTTGTGGGTGCTGCACTTGTAGGTGCAGCTGTTGTAGGTGGAGCTGTTGCGGATTCTGCTGTTGTAGGTGGAGCTGTTGTCTGTGCTGCTGTTGTAGGTGCTGCAGTTGTAGGTGAAGCTGTTGTGGGTGCTGCAGTTGTTGGTGCAGCTGTTGTGGGTGCTGCAGTTGTAGGTGCTGTGGTTGTAGCTGGAGCTGTTGTAGGTGGTGCAGTTGTAGGTGCAGCTGTTGTGGGTGCTGCAGTTGTAGGTGCTGCAGTTGTCGGTGCAGCTGTTGTGGGTGCTGCAGTTGTAGGTACAGCTGTTGTGGGTGCTGCAGTTGTAGGTGCAGCTGTTGTGGGTGCTGCAGTTGTAGGTGCAGCTGTTGTGGGTGCTGCAGTTGTAGGTGCTTCAGTTGTGAGTGCAGCTGTTGTAGGTGCAGCTGTTGTAGGTGCTGCAGTTGTGGGTGCAGCTGTTGTGGGTGCTTCAGTTGTTGGTGCAGCCGTTGTGGGTAGGGCAGTTGTAGGTGCTGCAGTTGTAGCTGCAGCTGTTGTGGGTGCTGCAGTTGAAGGTGCAGCTGTTGTAGGTGCTGCAGTTGTGGGTGCAGCCGTTGTGGGTGCTGCAGTTGTTGGTGCAGCCGTTGTAGGTGCTTCAGTTGTGGGTGCAGCCGTTGTAGGTGCTGCAGTTGTGGGTGCAGCAGTTGTAGGTGCTGCTGTTGTAGCTGGAGCTGTTGTGGGTGCTGCAGTTGTAGGTGCAGCTGTTGTTGGTGCTGCTGTTGTAGGTGGAGCTGTTGTGGGTGCTGAAGTTGTAGGTGGAGCTGTTGTGGGTCCTGCAGTTGTGGGTGCTGCAGTTGTAGGCGCTGCAGTTGTAGGTGCTGCAGTTGTAGGTGCAGCTGTTGTGGGTGCTGCAGTTGTAGGTGCAGCCGTTGTGGGTGCTGCAGTTGTAGGTGCTGTGGTTGTAGCTGGAGCTGTTGTAGGTGGTGCAGTTGTAGGTGCAGCTGTTGTGGGTGCTGCAGTTGTAGGTGCTGCAGTTGTCGGTGCAGCTGTTGTGGGTTCTGCAGTTGTAGGTACAGCTGTTGTGGGTGCTGCAGTTGTAGGTGCAGCTGTTGTGGGTGCTGCAGTTGTAGGTGCTTCAGTTGTGAGTGCAGCTGTTGTAGGTGCAGCTGTTGTAGGTGCTGCAGTTGTGGGTGCAGCTGTTGTGGGTGCTTCGGTTGTTGGTGCAGCCGTTGTGGGTAGGGCAGTTGTAGCTGCTGCAGTTGTAGCTGCAGCTGTTGTAGCTGGAGCTGTTGTGGGTGCTGCAGTTGTAGGTGCAGCTGTTGTTGGTGCTGCTGTTGTAGGTGGAGCTGTTGTGGGTGCTGCAGTTGTAGGTGCAGCTGTTGTCGGTGCTGCAGTTGTAGGTGGAGCTGTTGTGGGTCCTGCAGTTGTGGGTGCTGCAGTTGTAGGCGCTGCAGTTGTAGGTGCTGCAGTTGTAGGTGCAGCCGTTGTGGGTGCTGCAGTTGTAGGTGCTGCAGTTGTAGCTGGAGCTGTTGTGGGTTCTGCAGTTGTAGGTGCAGCTGTTGTAGGGGCTGCAGTTGTAGGTGGAGCTGTTGTGGGCGCTGCTGTTGTAGGTGCTGCAGTTGTAGGTGCTGCAGTTGTAGGTGCAGCTGTTGTGGGTGCAGCTGTTGTGGGTGCTGCAGTTGTAGGTGCGGCCGTTGTGGGTGCTGCAGTTATTGGTGCTGCAGTTGTAGGTGCAGCTGTTGTGGGTGCTGCAGATGTAGCTGGAGCTGTTGTGGGTGCAGCTGTTGTAGGTGCTGCAGTTGTGGGTGCAGCTGTTGTTGGTGCAGTCGTTGTGGGTGCTGCAGTTGTTGGTGCAGCCGTTGTGGGTGCTGCAGTTGTAGGTGCGGCCGTTGTGGGTGCTGCAGTTATTGGTGCTGCAGTTGTAGGTGCAGCTGTTGTGGGTGCTGCAGATGTAGCTGGAGCTGTTGTGGGTGCAGCTGTTGTAGGTGCTGCAGTTGTGGGTGCAGCTGTTGTAGGTGCTGCAGTTGTGGGTGCAGCTGTTGTTGGTGCAGTCGTTGTGGGTGCTGCAGTTGTTGGTGCAGCCGTTGTGGGTGCTGCAGTTGTTGGTGCAGCCGTTGTGGGTGCTGCAGTTGTTGGTGCAGCCGTTGTGGGTGCTGCAGTTGTTGGTGCAGGCGTTGTGGGTTCTGCAGTTGTAGGTGCAGCTGTTGTGGGTCCTGCTGTTGTGGGTGCTGCAGTTGTAGGTGCAGCTGTTGTAGGTGGAGCTGTTGCGGATTCTGCTGTTGTAGGTGGAGCTGTTGTCGGTGCTGCTGTTGTAGGTGCTGCAGTTGTAGGTGAAGCTGTTGTGGGTGCTGCAGTTGTTGGTGCAGCTGTTGTGGGTGCTGCTGTTGTGTGTGCAGCTGTTGTGGGTGCTGCAGTTGTAGGTGGAGCCGTTGTAGCTGGAGCTGTTGTAAGTGGTGCAGTTGTAGATGCTGCAGTTGTAGGTGGAGCTGTTGTGGGTCCTGCTGTTGTGGGTGCTGCAGTTGTAGGTGGAGCTGTTGTGAGTGCTGCAGTTGTAGGTGGAGCTGTTGTTGGTCCTGCAGTTGTAGGTGCAGCGGTTGTGGGTGCAGCTGTTGTGGGTGCTGCAGTTGTAGGTGCTGCAGTTGTAGCTGGAGCTGTTGTGGGTGCTGCAGTTGTAGGTGCAGCTGTTGTGGGTGCAGCTGTTGTGGGTGCTGCAGTTGTAGGTGCAGCTGTTGTGGGTGCTGCAGTTGTAGGTGCTTCAGTTGTGGGTGCTTCAGTTGTGGGTAGGGCAGTTGTAGGTGCTGCAGTTGTAACTGCAGCTGTTGTGGCTGCTGCAGTTGTAGGTGTAGCTGTTGTAGGTGCTGCAGTTGTGGGTGCAGCTGTTGTGGGTGCTGCAGTTGTTGGTGCAGCCGTTGTAGGTGCTTCAGTTGTGGGTGCAGCTGTTGTAGGTGCAGCTGTTGTAGGTGCTGCAGTTGTGGGTGCTGCCGTTGTGGGTGCTGCAGTTGTTGGTGCAGCCGTTGTGGGTGCTGCAGTTGTTGGTGCAGCCGTGGGTGCTGCAGTTGTTGGTGCAGCCGTTGTGGGTGCTGCAGTTGTAGGTGCTGCTGTTGTAGCTGGAGCTGTTGTGGGTGATGCAGTTGTAGGTGCAGCTGTTGTTGGTGCTGCTGTTGTAGGTGGATCTGTTGTGGGTGCTGCAGTTGTGGGTGCAGGCGTTGTGGGTGCTGCAGTTGTAGGTGCTGCAATTGTAGCTGGAGCTGTTGTGGGTGCTGCAGTTGTAGGTGCAGCCGTTGTGGGTGCTGCAGTTGTAGGTGCTGCAGTTGTAGCTGGAGCTGTTGTGGGTTCTGCAGTTGTAGGTGCAGCTGTTGTAGGGGCTGCAGTTGTAGGTGGAGCTGTTGTGGGCGCTGCTGTTGTAGGGGCTGCAGATGTAGTTGCTGCAGTTGTAGGTGGAGCTGTTGTGGGCGCTGCTGTTGTAGGTGCAGCTGTTGTAGGGGCTGCAGTTGTAGGTGCTGCAGTTGTAGGTGGAGCTGTTGTGGGCGCTGCTGTTGTAGGGGCTGCAGATGTAGTTGCTGCAGTTGTAGGTGGAGCTGTTGTGGGCGCTGCTGTTGTAGGTGCTGCAGTTGTAGGTGCTGTAGTTGTAGGTGCAGCTGTTGTGGGTGCAGCTGTTGTGGGTGCTACAGTTGTTGGTGCTGCAGTTGTTGGTGCTGCAGTTGTAGGTGCAGCTGTTGTGGGTGCTGCAGTTGTAGGTGCAGCCGTTGTGGGTGCTGCAGTTGTAGCTGGAGCTGTTGTGGGTGCTGCAGTTGTAGGTGCTGCAGTTGTAGCTGGAGCTGTTGTGGGTGCTGCAGTTGTAGGTGCAGCTGTTGTTGGTGCTGCTGTTGTAGGTGCTGCAGTTGTAGCTGGAGCGGTTGTGGGGGCTGCAGTTGTAGGTGGAGCTGTTGTAGGGGCTGCAGTTGTAGGTGGAGCTGTTGTGGGCGCTGCTGTTGTAGGTGCAGCCGTTGTAGGTGGAGCTGTTGTGGGTGCTGCAGTTGTGGGTGCAGCAGTTGTAGGTGCTGCTGTTGTAGCTGGAGCTGTTGTGGGTGCTGCAGTTGTAGGTGCAGCTGTTGTTGGTGCTGCTGTTGTAGGTGGAGCTGTTGTGGGTGCTGCAGTTGTAGGTGGAGCTGTTGTGGGTGCTGCTGTTGTGGGTGCAGCTGTTGTAGGTGCTGGTGTTGTAGGAGCAACAGTTGTAGGTCCTGCAGTGGTTTGTGCTGCAGTGGTCGATCCTGTTGATTTTTCAGCAGTTGTAGATATTAGTTTTTTTTAGAAATATTGTATTAGATTTTGGCCAAAATTCCAGTTTTTCTCCTTCTGTTTCAAAGGAATTTGTCGGCTCTAATTGATGGACAAGTCATTCTAGCAGTGGAGTTTACATCAAACAACTTACCCGTTAGAAACAGTAACATGAATACTGTCTGTTTGAGATCCATGTTGTTTCCCACTGAATCTATAAACAAAATTACAAAGAGACATTCTCATTGATACATTATTTAAAACGTACGTATGCTCTTCGGTTATTACTGTACATAGTATTCCGTTTTCTTTTTTAACAGTTAAAAATCCATGACTGTAGCAGACATGTCCATTCCTTAAAATAGTATGATTAGATGTAGAAACTTCAATACACAGAACTTTTAAATTAAATTCTTCACGTTATGAGCACTTGTAACAATTCTGTTAGGCGATGTCTTCTCATTACCACTGTGCATCACTTCTGTTCTTTATTACGCGTATATCTTGTTTAAATCCTTAACTGGAAAAAATACGAACAGAGTTTAGGGAAAGCCCCTGAGTATGAGCGGCCGAATATGCATTCAATCTGACCTTCGAATCTATGGAAGCATTTTGAATCAAACTATGTTAGACCTTTTTTTGATACAGACTTACACACATTTAAAACCAATGAGAACAATACATTGCAATGCTATGTTTGTAAGTTTCATGACGGACACAGTGATACTCGACATTCATACCAAAGCCAATGTAAGTGAATCACTGAGGAAAGCAGTTTTGATAGTACTAACGGCCATTGCATAGTCCTCAGTCACACAGTTTCTTGTGTCGCTGAAACTCATTACATTATAACTTTATTTTTGTGTAAAATAACATTTCCATAAAGCGTCATTATTGTAGTTCAGCTGAATGCACATTAACCTTAACAAAGGGATTTGTCACAGCGCTGTACGTCCTACCCTGTCATTTCTCCCTCTCTCACCACCCAATCAGTTCATTCTCTACCTGCTAGTCACATTCACCTTGTCAACCCAATCACACTCACCTATCTACCCTATTCACTCCCTTCAGTATTTAAACCCCAGTCACTCACTCATTTTCTGCCAGGTCGCTCTCACTTTTTCCAACCTTTCTACTGCGACAGTAGTTGGTTTATTAACTGTGTCTGGATTTGCTAGCGTAGTATCGAAGTATGATAGAAAACCAGTATAATTGATTAAATTAACGTTACTTGGATAGGCGACACAAAATGAATTGGTAGAGGACCTACAAGAGCAGCACAACGGGTTTAAAATAAATTTGTTAAAGATTATTAAAGCTTTTGCATAAATGTTAACTTGCCCAATCAGCTGGGTAAATCAGCCTCCTAACGACTGTAGGTATCAACAGTATTCCTACGGGTTTGATAGTGTTGAACTGAAACTTCACAAAAAAGACTAAATTGCCTCCTGAACACAACATCCACTTTCGCAAAAAATACGCCTTTTAGGGTAAATGGACCAATGTTGACATTATTGTGACTGGATTTTATAAATGTACTTGCCCAAAATGAGGTCTGCTTTCTGAAAATGATTTCAGTATTTTTATAATTCAGTCCAGTTCACATAGATGAGATAGCAAAACGTTTACATTACATTACAGGTCATTTAGCAGCCGCTTTTATACAAAGCGACTTACACTTTAAAACCATGGCCTTTTTTCACATTTTTGCCTGGGGAGCAATTAGGGGTTAGGTGTCTTGCTCAGGGACACTTCGACATGGAACATGGGGCAGCCTGGACTCGAACCACCAACCTTGTGCTTCCCAGCACACCTTCTCCAACCCCTGCGCCACAACGACCCCCGTTTACCTGGTGTGACTGTCAGTGCTTAGTGCTAAGTGCTTAAAACGTGCATTCATTCAAATGAACCATTTACAAAATAAACCAGATAGTCCAGATAACACAGCGGTTCCCAAACGCAAGAATGCCGCGGCCCAATTTGAAATTAAAGCCTTTTAAGTGCGCTATGGAGTGCGGCAAATGCGGTATATTTACTTTAATACTACAAGAGGGCGCCCCGTTTGTTGAACAACAACAGGCGGACAAGAGCAGCCGTTTCGAGCGAGAGCCTTATTGTTTTATTAATCTGTCCGTTTAAATTGTTTGTGCTTCATACAACTAATGTTTCACATAACTAATGTGCCACATCATAAATATTTTTATATTAATTTCAAACTTTTAAAAATTGAAAATTAAAAAACGTTATTTATTTATTGTAAATGACCTCTCGCGGCCCACCTGCAGTACCTTCGCGGCCCACCAGGGGGACGCAGCCCACACTTTGGGAATCGCTGGTCTAACGTATGTCGGCGAAATAGTCACAGTAAACACAGTGCAGTAAATTGAATACATTTTGATTTTTAGTGATGTAGTATTGTTTAAATGAGTTATGCAGTGATCCCCAACCACCGAGCCGCGGACCGGTACCGGTCCGTGCGCCATTTGGTACCGGGCCGCACCACAGAAAGAAATATATATATTTTTTTCTGAAAAATGTTTTATTTTGAAAATTGACCAGATTCTCTCCTAATTATGTGCGCTCGGCCCTCTTGACATATGATCCAAGCGTCACCAAGCGTTTTCTCGTTTTTTCTCGTTTTTCTTCACGTTCACGGACGGCAGTTTCGAACAGAGAGCACGCGAATACTACCCTCACCCCCCCCGCCCGTCGGTCGGTCCGCCAGCAACGAATATCCCCCCCGCCGCGTTATTCCGCCGATCTTCTTGACCGGTACGCCAAATATTGTCTGACATGAAAACGGTCCATGAGGTAAAAAATGTTGGGTACACAGGTACAGGGCCGGATGTACAGGGGGGCAAGGGGGGGGGGGGGGGCAATTTAATGAACAATTTAATTACTAGCCCCCCGCCCATCAAATGCTACGTCCCTAATTTCCAACGTGCAGAGCACACAGCGAGTCTGCTGCGGAAGGTGCGCTGGTCCTGCAACCCGACTGGAGAGACTGAGCTGCCCCAGAGCCTCTGAAGGTGAAGTGAGTTTCATCAGGTGTAGTTTAAACATAAGTTTAACTTAGTTACATTTGTAATGAATGTATTGTATGAAAGAGGATTCAGCATCAGCAAAAACAGCGAGTCTATTACGTTAGCCAAAATCAGTGGTCATAAGTTATCGGTCCCCACTCCTTTGTGATTTGTAAGAGCACCCTTCCCTTCGATTGGCCTAATTTTGATTTTAGTAAAGACAAGAACAGCCCTTTTTGAGAATGTGCTAGTTAAAATGGTACGTGGTCGCATTTGTATTGTGCCGCACAATACACAACCTCCTAAGTCAATGACGCGCGAAAAACTCCCGGTTGTGTGCGCTTGGTTTATAAGTGCATCTTGATTTGCTAGCGTAGTATCGAAGTATGATAGAAAACCAATATAACCGATTAAATAAACGTTACCTGCATAAGCGACACAAAATGGATTGATTGATGAACAGGTTTAAGATACATGTGTTAAACATTATTGAAGCTTCTGCTTGAATATTCACTTTCCTAATATATTTGATTTTTGCTTTCATAGCGTTGACTGAAACTTCACAAAAAACGATAGTATTGACTCCCTAACTCACAATCCATTTCCACAACAAATCAGTCTAATCAGTGTATATGGATCAACTTCATGACAGTATTATGACTGGATTTTAAAATGTACTTACCCACAATCAGGAGCTATAAGATAAAACGTTGTGAATTCCTCCTCTCTTTCTGCTTTCTGAAAATTATTTCAGTATTTTTATAATTCAGTCCAGTTCACATAGATGAGATAGCAAACCGTTTACCTGGTGTGACTATCAACATCGATGAAAGCCTTTATATTGAAACAGGATAAAGGCCAATGACGTCAATCGTTGACGTCTTTTACTTTACTGCCACAAAAAACAAAGCACATTTTAAATTCCGGCTGCGAATCTTTCAGAACACTCCCTTATGTTGTCTTGTCAAATGCTGGTACATTCCACCTGTGCTAATGTTAGAAGAAGTTTTTCCAGTATGACGGTAGAACAAAGTAGTAATTATAGATTTACAAATAAAACAAATAGTGGTGACGCAGTAATGGAGCATGCCTTGAATCACTATTTTTAATAAAATATTAAAAAATATTTTTTTCCATCTTTGTGTGATTATAAGAAAAACAATGTTTTTTGTTTTTGAACGTACAATTGTAGTATACTGTTTTGATAAAGACAAGTAAGTAAACAGTGCATTATCAAGATACAAGTCTTCTTTAGGGTTCTACCCTATTTTGTTTTTTTAATCCCTCTAGACAATGTATTCTAATCATATGATTTCATGAACATACCAGTTAGTTACAGAGTTACGATGTAGGGAGAATACAGTGTTTAATTATTTGTTGCTATATCCCAATTATTCAGCACTTCTCGATCAATGAATGAACAAAATAGGATTCAAGTTTTTCTAAAATTAAAACTCGCCCATAATGAGTCATTGAGCTTCTAAGTTTTAGGTAGCAGTAAGTCTGATGGTGCTTAATGAAATTCCACAATAAAGCATTAAACTTCCTCCTCATCAAATTATGAACTTACTGAAAGAAGAGTTATAGCGAACAAATGACTCGTATTTATAATTTGTCTGCGATCTTGCTTCTCAAAAATAAACAAGGAACTAGCTCCTCTACTTCTATGGACCATCCCACTTTACATACCTATTCATGTACTTACTTCAAGTAAAAAATATAAGGAAAAGTAAAAGCCTTGGCGTTGATTTGGTCGTTGCAAACAATTTCAGGTGTATGTAGGTTCAGGGCCTGTAATAGTTTATACAGACCACAACCCTTTGACGTTTTTAAACTTGCTGTCCGAATCCGATACTTCTAAGATGGCCCCTGCTTCTCAGTCGTACTGTTTGATATACGTCACATTAAAGGGAAGGACAATATTGTTGCTGACGCATTGTCCAGGGACCTATGTCCGTAGTTGGGATGGCATAATCTATAGGTGTGCACCACACAGACAGAAAGTGATGGCAGCTGAGATCAAATACATGCTGGACAACAACATGGCAATTCCATTGTCATCCAGTTGGGCATCACCCTGTCTGCTGGTTGATAAGTTTGACACGTCTCCTAGATTCTGTACTAACTATCGAAAAGTAAACAAGGTCACTAAGTCAGATTCATTCCCATTACCTCGAATGGAGGACTGCATAGACCAGGTTGGTGCAACAAAATTTGTGAGCAAGTTCGACCTGTTGAAAGGGTACTGGCAAGTTCCTTTATCTTCTCGTGAAGGCTGTGCGGTGTATCTTGACGATGTAGTCATCTTCAGTAACCGGTGGGATACTCATGTCCAGCGTGTCCGTGCTTTGTTCAGTCGATTAGCTGAGGCACGACTCACAGTCAATCTGGCAAAGTGTGAGTTTGCCAGGGCGACGGTGACATATCTTGGGCGAGTGGTCGGACAGGGGCATATGCGTCCGGTTGATGCAAAAATCAGAGCCGTGGTGCAGTTTCCTGCTCCAAGTACGAAAAAGGAGTTGATGCGGTTCCTTGGCTTGGTCGGCTATTATAGGAGCTTTTGTAAAAACTTTTCGACGGTGGTTGCGCCACTAACTGATCTGTTGAAGGGCAAGGTGAAACTTGTGTGGCCTCCTCTCTGTCAAAGTGCATTTGAGAATGTGAAAGCCCTCCTGTGCTTGGCTCCAGTCCTGTCTGCACCATGTTTGGATGAACCGTTTAAGATCCTGACAGACGCCAGTCAAGTGGGCGCAGGGGCAGTATTATTGCAGGAGGAGGGGGGAATTGATAAACCTGTGTGTTACTTCTCAAAGAAGTTTAATTCATATCAGAGAAACTATTCGACAATAGAGAAGGAAGCGCTGGCACTTATTTGGGCGCTGCAGCATTTTGAAGTTTATGTCGGTACGGGGGGAAAACCAGTAGTTGTGTATACCGATCATAACCCTTTGACATTTTTGAGTTTGCTGCACTGCCCAAACCAACGTCTGATGCGGTGGACTTTGTTTCTGCAAAGTCATAATTTAGACATAAGACACATTAAAGGCAGAGACAATAAAAAGGGCAGATGCTTTTTCTCGTGCCCCTGTGGGTTAAATGGTCTGAATTGTAGTGGTAAGGGTTAATGTTTTGGATTATAAAATGTAACTCCTGTCATCCTTCACTCTGTTCTCGTCTCTCTCTGCTTCTTTTAGGTGCCTGGTTGCAGAGCTGGGGCGTAGTTTCAATGTGGAGGGTGCTAAGGTAGTATGGTTTTTTGTGGTTTTTGGAGTTTGCGGTGATCCCTGTTGGGACCCCGTCTTAAGGGGGGAGGTGTGACAACCAATGGTGTGGAGGCAGCAGCCTTCCAATGAGATTTGATTTTGGTGATTGAAGGCACCTGGGACAGGTGCCCTGCGATTAGAAAGCCCCATGTTCATCCATTCATTCTGTCGGTCTCTCCTCTCTCTAGCAGACGTCCGGTGTGGCAGGGCAGCCGCCTGTTGAATCCTGTTTCCTTTTGGTTGAATGCCCTTGACAACACCCATCATTTACACTTTACCCTCATGCACATCCTACACTACTGATAATACTGACATTCACATCTCATCTGGAATGGTTGTGGCTTTTCGTTGTTCTTGTGTTAAATAAAGAATATGTTACACCTCGTAAACCAGTGCAACTCCAATCTTGTCATGGCCCAAAGAGCCAGGTCGTGACACATAATTACTTTCAGCTGTGTTGGAAGGTGATATATATGCTGTAAGGTAAGCACGTTTTTTGGGCTGTAGATGTCCAGGTTCCGGTTGGGAACCTGTCTTTATGGGGGGGGGACTGTGACGACCGCAAGGTCCCCTGCCGTTTGTGTTCGTCTGTCTGTCTTGCAGGTTCCTGGGAGGCATCTGGCCAGTGTTGCCAGCCTTTAAGAGAAGCCCAACCGGATGCATTGGCAGCCATGCTTCCTCAAGACACCTGGTGTGACTGGGGCATGGTGGCCTACGAGAATGCCTTCTGTGAACGTTATTTGTTCCTTCTTTTGAAAATGCATGGTTTATAGTTTTGGAATAAACCTCTTTCTGTTTAAAAACCCTTAACTGCCGTAGTCATCCGTCATTTGTTGCGGTCGAGGCGCCAGACCGTAACAAATATATTACATACCATTCACCTGACTGTTGAAGAAACGCCTCTGTTTTTGAATGGGATAAAAAGCCCTTGCCATGATTCACACCATGCTATCCTTTCAAAAAAAGAATTTATGTTTCCATTCTACGCTCATAATTACGCTCACCCCACCTACTTCTGTTCTACATTTTTCTATCCATAAAGATAATGGCAAAGAAGTTCCTTTGGAAGGACAAACAATGACAAATGAAATGAAGATAGATCTTTAGTCTGCTGTACGGAGTTAAAAGATGGCCAACTTTGATTAAAAAAAATCAAAAGACGATACACATATTGTTTATGCAATGATATTCACATCATGCAATATCCCTCTTACATTATCTTTTCTTACCTGCAGGTAAAATCTACTAGGTTTATCAGGATAGTGGCTTATTACAGTATTTTACAATCGCTATGTACATGTTTTCAATACTTTTAATAGTTTCCTAAACTCTTGACACAGCACAACATCCGTCTGTGTTGGCTGTACAATTAACACATTTCTTGTTGCTTTGACACAGAATGTACATTCCACCCTGTAGCCAGCAGGGGGCAGGGTGGCGCTGTTCTGCTTTAGACAGGCTTTACGGCCGAGAAAGAATTTGCGACCACAACGTTGCGAGTGACGATTCCTCATTCTGCGGAGCGAGGCGCAATGACCAGACCTGTAAGAGCTGTGTGTCATTTATGTGTAAACCGCCTACATGTGTGTCCGGTCTACGGAATCACCATCATCTGCCTACTTGGTACCAATCCTGGTACCTGTAACATAAACACACATTTAAAATGCTTGAACTTCTTTTACACACAAGCTGAACCAAAACAAATCGATTTTTCCTGCCAAATTTACGAATGCTTTCACACTGTATGCCAGCGGATCAGGGGCGGATCTACAGGGGGGCAACGGGGGGCAGCTGCCCCCCCACTTTTAGAGCCCTGCCCCCCCCAGCTGCCCCCCTTTGATGAATCAAAAAATAAAAAATCAACCCGCCATTATGTCCACACAAGCTTCTCAAAACAGTGAACTAAACAATACATTACCAAAAGTGAACAATTTGATTACTAGCCCCCCCCCCTCAAATGCTACGTCCCTGATTCAAACGTGCAGAGCACACAGCGAGTCTGCTGCGGAAGGTGCGCTGGTCCTGCAACCCGACTGGAGAGACTGAGCTGCCCCAGAGCCTCTGAGGGTGAAGTGAGTTTCATCAGGTGTAGTTTAAACATAAGTTTAACTTAGTTACATTTGTGATGAATGTATTGTATGAAAGAGGATTCAGCATCAGCAAAAACAGCGAGTCTATTACGTTAGCCAAAATCAGTGGTCATAAGTTATCGGTCCCCACTCCCTTGTGATTTGTAAGAGCATCCTTCCCTTCGATTGGCCTAATTTTGATTTTAGTAAAGACACGAACAGCCCTTTTTGAGAATGTGCTGGTTAAAATGGTAGGTTGTCGCATTTGTATTGTGCCGCACAATACACAACCTCCTAAGTCAATGACGCGCGAAAAACTCCCGGTTGTGTGCGCGGGTGCCGGGTGGCCAGAGCGGACATGGCAGGTGAGAGCGGTCCTATGTGTTAAAATGTGAAAGCAGTTACCGACGACGCAAAGTAAGCGTTTTGTACTGTCTGCCGCCGAGAACTGTCGATTAGCCATGGTGTCGAGACTTAAACCCGCCATGAAGATGCAGAGGGGGGCGTCAGCCCGCGAAAGTGTCCCTGATTTGGAGTTGGCAACCCTAATTGTGCGATTGCTGCAGTTTGTAACTTATGTTCAAAATGAATGAGTACATCATGAATCCATTTTCCAAACTGTTTTTTTTTTACTTAACCTGAATCACTACGCCTATAATAGGTGTTTATATTGTGACGATTTTATCCCGGGGTCGGCTCGGCTGCGGCGGAGTTACCCCGTGCCTGCGTGATTCGCCATAGACATTAACTGAGTGAAGTAGCTCCGGCTACAGTGTTCTTCCGCAACACTTGCGCATTGTGCACACACAGACAGCAGCATGCCAAAATACAGTTCTCTTTCTTACTTGAACTTACAAAACTTACAACACACACAATTATGCACAAACAAAATGTCCATTTGTTGAGTATCTTTTTCATAACATAAGAGCAGCAGTCTCACGGTGAACGTGAGAGTTGTGACAAAATGAGGCGCGTGTGAGATCTGCGTCTCTGTCAGCTGTTCTTAAAGAGACCGCAGCCACTAAAGCTTTCTGTCAGTAAAGCTAATCACAGAACAAAAACAACAGAGAACATTTCTCACTGCTCTTGACTAAAGAACTTTATGAATAATTTATGCAGTACAGGCTGTTTGATCACTTTATTCAATTTTGATACGTCCGAGGCCCCCTGTTAGACAGTAAGGGCTCAGGTAAATATGACATCTTTTTTTTTTTTTTTACTATTTTACTCTTGAGACAAAGTAATAATTTACTTTTTAAAAGATGCTTTGTTTTGTTTGAACAATGTTTAATTCATGTTGTGAATTAAAAACCTTAAGTTTAAAAGTGTTTTTGTGTTTGTTTTGTTAAAGCAATTCACATATAAGGATTCCCATGTACCGTCATCCCTGCCAAGACCTCTTGCCACGCCTTTGCCCCCCCCCCCATGTAAAATTTTCTAGATCAGCCGCTGCAGCAGATAACATCATGTTCAAAACCTAACTTATTGGCTAAAGTCAAAGTGAACAGCTGTTTATTGTGAATCGAGACACAAATATATCCCCTGTATTATATTCCATTGATACTGAGAAACAGCTGATTCCCATCGAGGAAACACACTGAGGTGTTACTTTCTGCCCCTTACTTAGCTTTGCTCAATCCCATTTTCTCATCGTGGAAATAGAGGTTTTTCACCATCGTCCACAAGACCAAAAGTCCCTCCTGGATGCAATGGATGCTGCATGTCAACCTCAACCATGCAAGACATCACAGCTGAACATTGCCAGGGGTGGATAAGGCATGCCAAAAGATCTTTCCCAAGATGCCTTGCCAGATAAGATATCATGTGTGATGTGGATGATAACATGTGGCCAAATGCAGAAGACTGGGCAGATTAGATTACGTAGATGTTTTTTGGGGGGGTCTTTTTCTGTTTTTCATATTTACGTAGCATTTTCACATACAGTAATATAAATGGCAGCTATATTGCATATCTTGCAGTAATGTCCCGTTGCAAATAAAGCCTTTACTGCAGCAATTATGTTTGTCTTCTTTTTTTCAATACATTAACTGAGATGTATTCATTTTTTGTTCTGAATTTCTGAAGCAAAAGAAACAAAATGCATGCATTTACTAAACCCAACAAAACAAAAATGTAGAGAGGCGTCAAAAGGAACTTTGCAAACACAATATATCATCCATATACTGTGAGATCTGACACATATATAAAAAAAATTGTCATCATTCTGATTTGAATGTGCTTTTATCAGTTTTCAAAGCAGTGTGATAGCATAAGAAAAATACCCTGCACATTTTTTGCAGTTTGTGCAGTGTAGAGGCTAAGCCAACCCTTTAAGCCATAGAGGCATTTTGTCCGGAAACCCTAATTGACGCGCCGCTGTTGTACCATGAGCGATGAATGAGAGTCCTGTAGCCTTTGTGTTAAATTGAAAACGAGTCCATTTATTTGCCAATTTACTCCTGTCACAGGTTTAACAGACATCCAACCGGAACGTTACAGGACACTGTTTTCCTATTTCGGCTAGAAACACCTGCCGAGCCCCCAAAAGGTTTCTACCCTATGTAGGCTGACCGGCCCATCAATCAGATCCTTTACACAAATCATAATGGCTCTTACATGCAGTATGAATGACAAATGTGTGTTTGATTTTGAAAAATATGGTGATTTTAATGCATTTTGTTTGAAAGAAATGGAAAATAATTCACAGTTTAGTCCGTATACTCTCGTGTGGTGCTGACTGTGTAAAGGGTTTTGAAAATGGGCTTGAACAATACTTGTTAGCAATTGAGAAAACTGTAAACTTATCTGGCATTGTTTGAATAAAAAAAATTAATCTCTTAGGCAAAGCAAAAGATGCACCACTCCCACTTCTTTCTAACTGAACAAACCTGATTTACAGGGAAAACAAAGGCGATTAGCTTAGTGACGCTATTGTGAAACATATCAATAGAACATGGCAGTGTTTCAATCTCGGTAAAGCCTTAGTGGTGTTTTAAATAAAGGCAGGGTATGTCATCTTCTTTAAAAATATGTTATATATTTTTGTTATATTTCTCATTACGTCCTGATATCACTAATCTAATCTAATTCTGAAAAAGAATATCTTAAATCTAACGCTGTAGCAGGACTATAATAAGCCCATACAATAGACTCAATTATCCTGGATGTAATTACTCTGTGTCTGCCTTGCACTGAAACTCACTGAAACTGAGTCTTCCACAAGCGACTAGATTGACATATGAGACTGCTACAAATATTTGCATTCATAATGCTTGTGAAATTACTTTTGGGGAGGCCTAAGGACAAAAACCGTTAGTCGATGCGACTTGGCAACTCTCTTGCTAGATCTATTAACCTTTAAAAGCGAGCTCTACTTTCATCTCTCACTTGAAGAGGAATGGCAAACATGTGCTTGGTTTATCGGATGGATGATTTAATTAATCGAGCGTACCAATGCTAGTTGCTCAAGATAAGCAAAGTAGCCTTCTAGATGTCCTTTACATTCAATATTCCTTGTTACATTTTCTATTTAGGGATGAAAATTGTAAAACACCCGCAAAAAGGATGATTTAAAAAAATGATTAAACAATTAAAATTGTTTATTTTAATTATTCATCAGAATACAGCTATGCATGGTTAGATAAATACACATTGTATGAATAAGAAAATTGACAGTGCCATATTTTGACATGTGAGTATACCAATACCGTAGATATAAGTTAATTCAAACAAGGATGAAAGAGATTTAATGGTAACACTTTGTAATTTGGCTTATTTGACTTGTTTTGGGAAAAAGCCCCGAAAAGATAGCATTTGTAACCCTCATTATGTCAAATATTGCTAAAGCGCAGTGCTCATGGAAGCAAAAATAATTTAAGTGCATAATAATATAATATAATAATAAGTGCAAACAGTGTAATTAGTTTCTGATGATTAGTGTCATGATGATTAAAATAGACCCGGTGCTTAAATTTAGCATAATTCATCACTATCATTTAATCTGACAAACGAAGGTTCATCCACATCTCCAAAAGAATCTTAGATCTTTGTTGAAGACAAAGTATTTTTTTTGTTTAACTAACAATCACATTCATGTTGTGGAAGTGGAAATCAGCACTAACGGTGTCGTTGGCTTTACAGTAACCAAGACAACACTATCAGGCAGGATGCTGTAATGACACTGATCTTCTGGCTTACTCCACTTGGAACCGCTGAAGATGCAGCAACTGTTGTTGCAGTTACAGCTACCACTGTAGGTGGTTTAGTTATAGAAGCAGCTGTTGTTGTTGTTGTTGTTGTTGTTGCAGTTACACCTACCACTGTAGGTGGTTTAGTTATAGGAGCAGCTGTTGTTGTTGTTGTTGTTGCAGTTACACCTACCACTGTAGGCGTTTTAGTTATAGGAGCAGCTGTTGTTGTTGTTGTTGTTGCAGTTACACCTACCACTGTAGGCGCTTTAGTTATAGGAGCAGCTGCTGTTGTTGTTGTTGCAGTTACAACTACCACTGTAGGTGGTTTAGTTATAGCAGCAGCTGTTGTTGTTGTTGTTGTTGTTGTTGCAGTTACACCTACCACTGTAGGCGCTTTAGTTATAGGAGCAGCTGTTGTTGTTGTTGTTGCAGTTACAACTACCACTGTAGGCGCTTTAGTTATAGGAGCAGCTGTTGTTGTTGTTGTTGCAGTTACACCTACCACTGTAGGTGGTTTAGTTATAGCAGCAGCTGTTGTTGGTGCTGCAGCCGTAGTTGCGGGTGCTGTAGGTGCTGCATTAAAACAAACCATTAGTTTGAACATTTGTGAAACATTTTGATCATGTTCTGCTCATTGCTACTTACATGTTGTGTTCACAATGATTGAGGCGGTTTCAATGTCGAACCCAGTAACGTTTGAAGATGCTTCAATCAACAGTGCTTTAATGTCAACGTTTTGAGGAACAGATGTCATATTGAAGGAAAGCTCAATGTCGTTGACGACTGATCCTTGCCTGCAGAAGGAGAAACAAAAGATTCATTTTGAAGTATTAGATTACCACTATTCTTTAATTGTTACAAATATAATACTGTATCAATCAACACAATACCTGAATGACACCACTCTCATGGACTTGTATGAAAAGAATATCCTTAAGAACATGGGATGAAGCTGCAGAAACAGACATTAATTTGTAATTAAACAACATGGGTATTGTTTGCTGTTCACTAATTTCTAGTAAAACATTCCAAACTATGTTTTCATGAGTTTTTTCTGAAATTAGGATCACTGTATTTTTGACTAAGTAGCAAAAGGATCCTCTTCATAGAATTCACCGTGTTGCAACCGTGTTCACCAGTAAATGCAGACACAAAAGTTCTCTTTCAAGATTTCATTTGCCTTTTATAATTAAACTGTGTATGTGTAAGCAGTTTTTATGGTTTGAAATTATTCTACTTAATGTTTTCTTCCTTCATTTTTTGCAAGAAATTTGAATATGTAATATATTTTAAGTACATATACTCTCTAATAAGTTTTCAGTCTTTAGGTTGAGGTATTGAGGTCTTTGATACACTAATTCAGTAGTTAAACCAGATTCAAAGGACAAACTTACCTCTTCCATGATCATTTTAGAGCGCTTTAAAAAAGCTTGAGATGTTGGAATCAACAAATCAGAAGAAAAAATGGATTGAAGTGATCTGAAAGTCACAAATCTTGTTGTGACTTCTAAAGTTTTAGGTGTGGTGACTGTTGGTAAAGCTATAGTTGTAGGTGTTGCAGTTTTTGTCACTGCAGTTGTAGTTGCGGCTGTTGTAGTTGCCGAAGTGGTTAATGAGGTTGTTGCTCCCAATGTTGTAATCACTGCAGTTATAGGTGCTCCTGTTGTTGGTGCTGCTGTCATCGTTGCTAAAGTTGTTGGGGCTGCTGTCGTAGTCGCTGCAGTTGTAGCTGTGGCTGTTGTTGGTGCTGCTGTCGTCACTGCCAAAGTTGTTGGGGTTGCTGTTGTTGTCGCAGCAGTTGTAGGTGCGGCTGTTGTTGCTAAAGTTGTTGGGGCTGCTGTAGATTCTGCAGTTGTAGCTGCGGCTGTTGTTTGTGCTGCTGTGGTTTGAGGGGTTGCTGTTGTTGTCGCAGCAGTTGTAGGGGCGGCTGTTGTTGGTGCTGCTGTCGTCGCTGCTAAAGTTGTTGGGGCTGCTGTTGTAGTCGCTGCAGTTGTAGCTGTGGCTGTTGTTGGTGCTGCTGTCGTCTCTGCCAAAGTTGTTGGGGTTGCTGTTGTTGTCGCAGCAGTTGTAGGTGCGGCTGTTGTTGGTGCTGCTGTCGTCGCTGCCAAAGTTGTTGGGGCTGCTGTTGTAGTCGCTGCAGTTGTTGTTTGTGCTGCTGTGGTTGTTGGGGTTGCTGTTGTTGTCGCAGCAGTTGTAGGTGCTGCTGTTGTTGGAGCTCCTGTTGTCGTTGCTAAAGTTGTTGGGGCTGCTGTTGTAGTCGCTGCAGTTGTTGTTTGTGTTGCTGTTGTTGTTGCTAAAGTTGTTGGGGCTGCTGTTGTAGTCGCTGCAGTTGTTGTTGGTGCAGCTGTTGTAGTCGATGCGGCTGTTGTTGGTGCTGCTGTCGTCGCTGCTAAAGTTGTTGGGGCTGCTGTTTTAGTCGCTGCAGTTGTTGTTTGTGCTGCTGTGGTTGTTGGGGTTGCCGTCGCAGCAGTTGTAGGTGCGGCTGTTGTTGGAGCTCCTGTTGTCGTTGCTAAAGTTGTTGGGACTGCTGTTGTAGTCGCTGCAGTTGTTGGTGCTGCTGTTGTAGTCGCTGCAGTTGTTGTTGGAGCTGCTGTTATCGTTGCTAAAGTTGTTGGGGCTGCTGTTGTAGTCGCTGCAGTTGTAGCTGTGGCTGTTGTTGGTGCTGCTGTCGTCTCTGCCAAAGTTGTTGGGGTTGCTGTTGTTGTCGCAGCAGTTGTAGGTGCGGCTGTTGTTGGTGCTGCTGTCGTCGCTGCTAAAGTTGTTGGGGCTGCTGTAGTAGTCGCTGCAGTTGTTGGTGCTGCTGTTGTAGTCGCTGCGGTTGTTGTTGGAGCTGCTGTTGTCGTTGCTAAAGTTGTTGGGGCTGTTGTTGGTGCTGCTGTCGTCTCTGCCAAAGTTGTTGGGGTTGCTGTTGTTGTCGCAGCAGTTGTTGTTTGTGTTGCTGTTGTTGTTGCTAAAGTTGTTGGGGCTGCTGTTGTAGTCGCTGCAGTTGTTGTTTGTGCTGCTGTGGTTGTTGGGGTTGCTGTTGTTGTCGCAGCAGTTGTAGGTGCGGCTGTTGTTGGTGCTGCTGTCGTCGCTGCTAAAGTTGTTGGGGCTACGTTTGTAGTCGCTGCAGTTGTTGGTGCTGCTGTTGTAGTCGCTGCGGCTGTTGTTGGAGCTGCTTTTGTCGTTGCTAAAGTTGTTGGGGCTGCTGTTGTAGTCGCTGCAGTTGTTTGTGTTGCTGTCGTTGTTCCTAAAGTTGTTGGGGCTGCTGTTGTAGTCGCTGCAGTTGTTGGTGCAGCTGTTGTAGTCGATGCGGCTGTTGTTGGAGCTGCTGTTGTTGGTGCTAAAGTTGTTGGGGCTGCTGTTGTAGTCGCTGCAGTTGTTGTTTGTGTTGCTGTCGTTGTTGCTAAAGTTGTTGGGGCTGCTGTTGTAGTCGCTGCAGTTGTAGCTGTGGCTGTTGTTGGTGCTGCTGTCGTCTCTGCCAAAGTTGTTGGGGCTGCTGTTGTAGTCGCTGCAGTTGTTGTTTGTGCTGCTGTGGTTGTTGGGGTTGCTGTTGTTGTCGCAGCAGTTGTAGGTGCGGCTGTTGTTGGTGCTGCTGTCGTCGCTGCTAAAGTTGTTGGGGCTACGTTTGTAGTCGCTGCAGTTGTTGGTGCTGCTGTTGTAGTCGCTGCAGTTGTTGGTGCTGCAGTTGTAGTCGCTGCGGCTGTTGTTGGAGCTGCTGTTGTCGTTGCTAAAGTTGTTGGGGCTGCTGTGGTAGTCGCTGCAGTTGTTGTTTGTGTTGCTGTCGTTGTTGCTAAAGTTGTTGGGGCTGCTGTTGTAGTCGCTGCAGTTGTAGCTGTGGCTGTTGTTGGTGCTGCTGTCTTCTCTGCCAAAGTTGTTGGGGTTGCTGTTGTTGTCGCAGCAGTTGTAGGTGCGGCTGTTGTTGGTGCTGCTGTCGTAGCTGCTAAAGTTGTTGGGGCTACGTTTGTAGTCGCTGCAGTTGTTGGTGCTGCTGTTGTAGTCGCTGCAGTTGTTGGGGCTGCTGTTGTAGCCGCTGCAGTTGTTGGGGCTGCTGTTTTAGTCGCTGCGGCTGTTGCTGTAGCTGCTGTTGTCGTTGCTAAAGTTGTTGGGGCTGCTGTAGTAGTCGCTGCAGTTGTTGTTTGTGTTGCTGTCGTTGTTGCTAAAGTTGTTGGGGCTGCTGTTGTAGTCGCTGCAGTTGTAGCTGTGGCTATTGTTGGTGCTGCTGTCGTCTCTGCCAAAGTTGTTGGGGTTGCTGTTGTTGTCGCAGCAGTTGTAGGTGCGGCTGTTGTTGGTGCTGCTGTCGTCGCTGCTAAAGTTGTTGGGGCTGCTATTGTAGTCGCTGCAGTTGTTGTTTGTGCTGCTGTGGTTGTTGGGGTTGCTGTTGTTGTCGCAGCAGTTGTTTGTGCGGCTGTTGTAGCTCCTGTTGTCGTTGCTAAAGTTGTTGGGGCTGCTGTAGTAGTCGCTGCAGTTGTTGGTGCTGCTGTTGTAGTCGCTGCGGTTGTTGTTGGAGCTGCTGTTGTCGTTGCTAAAGTTGTTTGGGCTGCTGATGTAGTCGCTGCAGTTGTTGGTGCTGCTGTTGTAGTCGCTGCGGCTGTTGTTGGAGCTGCTGTCGTCTCTGCCAAAGTTGTTGGGGTTGCTGTTGTTGTCGCAGCAGTTGTTGTTTGTGTTGCTGTTGTTGTTGCTAAAGTTGTTGGGGCTGCTGTTGTTGTCGCAGCAGTTGTAGGTGCGGCTGTTGTTGGAGCTGCTGTTGTCGTTGCTAAAGTTGTTGGGGCTGCTGTTGTAGTCGCTGCAGTTGTTGTTTGTGTTGCTGTTGTTGTTGCTAAAGTTGTTGGGGCTGCTGTTGTAGTCGCTGCAGTTGTTGTTGGTGCAGCTGTTGTAGTCGATGCGGCTGTTGTTGGAGCTGCTGTTGTTGTTGCTAAAGTTGTTTGGGCTGCTTTTGTAGTCGCTGCAGTTGTTGTTTGTGTTGCTGTCGTTGTTGCTAAAGTTGTTGGGGCTGCTGTTGTAGTCGCTGCAGTTGTAGCTGTGGCTGTTGTTGGTGCTGCTGTCGTCTCTGCCAAAGTTGTTGGGGTTGCTGTTGTTGTCGCAGCAGTTGTAGGTGCGGCTGTTGTTGGTGCTGCTGTCGTCGCTGCTAAAGTTGTTGGGGCTGCTGTTGTAGTCGCTGCAGTTGTTGTTTGTGCTGTTGGGGTTGCTGTTGTTGTCGCAGCAGTTGTTTGTGCGGCTGTTGTTGTAGCTCCTGTTGTCGTTGCTAAAGTTGTTGGGGCTGCTGTAGTAGTCGCTGCAGTTGTTGGTGCTGCTGTTGTAGTCGCTGCGGTTGTTGTTGGAGCTGCTGTTGTCGTTGCTAAAGTTGTTGGGGCTGCTGTTGTAGTCGCTGCAGTTGTTGGTGCTGCTGTTATAGTCGCTGCGGCTGTTGTTGGAGCTGCTGTTGTTGTTGCTAAAGTTGTTGGGGCTGCTGTTGTAGTCGGTGCAGTTGTTGTTGGTGCTGCTGTCGTCTCTGCCAAAGTTGTTGGGGTTGCTGTTGTTGTCGCAGCAGTTGTAGGTGCGGCTGTTGTTGGAGCTGCTGTTGTCGATGCTAAAGTTGTTGGGGCTGCTGTTGTAGTCGCTGCAGTTGTTGTTTGTGCTGCTGTGGTTGTTGGGGTTGCTGTTGTTGTCGCAGCAGTTGTTTGTGCGGCTGTTGTAGCTGCTGTTGTCGTTGCTAAAGTTGTTGGGGCTGCTGTAGTAGTCGCTGCAGTTGTTGTTTGTGTTGCTGTCGTTGTTGCTAAAGTTGTTGGGGCTGCTGTTGTAGTCGCTGCAGTTGTAGCTGTGGCTATTGTTGGTGCTGCTGTCGTCTCTGCCAAAGTTGTTGGGGTTGCTGTTGTTGTCGCAGCAGTTGTAGGTGCGGCTGTTGTTGGTGCTGCTGTCGTCGCTGCTAAAGTTGTTGGGGCTGCTATTGTAGTCGCTGCAGTTGTTGTTTGTGCTGCTGTGGTTGTTGGGGTTGCTGTTGTTGTCGCAGCAGTTGTTTGTGCGGCTGTTGTAGCTCCTGTTGTCGTTGCTAAAGTTGTTGGGGCTGCTGTAGTAGTCGCTGCAGTTGTTGGTGCTGCTGTTGTAGTCGCTGCGGTTGTTGTTGGAGCTGCTGTTGTCGTTGCTAAAGTTGTTTGGGCTGCTGATGTAGTCGCTGCAGTTGTTGGTGCTGCTGTTGTAGTCGCTGCGGCTGTTGTTGGAGCTGCTGTCGTCTCTGCCAAAGTTGTTGGGGTTGCTGTTGTTGTCGCAGCAGTTGTTGTTTGTGTTGCTGTTGTTGTTGCTAAAGTTGTTGGGGCTGCTGTTGTTGTCGCAGCAGTTGTAGGTGCGGCTGTTGTTGGAGCTGCTGTTGTCGTTGCTAAAGTTGTTGGGGCTGCTGTTGTAGTCGCTGCAGTTGTTGTTTGTGTTGCTGTTGTTGTTGCTAAAGTTGTTGGGGCTGCTGTTGTAGTCGCTGCAGTTGTTGTTGGTGCAGCTGTTGTAGTCGATGCGGCTGTTGTTGGAGCTGCTGTTGTTGTTGCTAAAGTTGTTTGGGCTGCTTTTGTAGTCGCTGCAGTTGTTGTTTGTGTTGCTGTCGTTGTTGCTAAAGTTGTTGGGGCTGCTGTTGTAGTCGCTGCAGTTGTAGCTGTGGCTGTTGTTGGTGCTGCTGTCGTCTCTGCCAAAGTTGTTGGGGTTGCTGTTGTTGTCGCAGCAGTTGTAGGTGCGGCTGTTGTTGGTGCTGCTGTCGTCGCTGCTAAAGTTGTTGGGGCTGCTGTTGTAGTCGCTGCAGTTGTTGTTTGTGCT